AGGACACATTCTTAAAGACAAAGACCATGCAGGAGGAGAAATCAGGATGGATAATTTCCTGGCCTCTGCAGGCCATGTTTGCATGAGTCAGTTTTCTACATTATTTATGCTCATCTGAATTTTTCAGACATTCTACACAGAACACAGACTTTTCTAAAATGTCTAGTGTTTCTTTTTATTTATAGATGAAGGCTTGACTCTTCCATGATATGAGGAAGTATATATCCTATTGAAAGTGGAAAGAATTATACATGGGTGTATAAATAATGAAATTATAAATGTTAAAGTTTATTAAAATGCAAACACTTGGGGTGCCTTTTCCTATGTGGCATTGATGCTGATTGAACCTTAATTTTTTTATTTACCAGAGAGATTTTAATACTTTTCTATGATTACTGCTGATGGCCAAAAATGTAGACAGTACCATGACTGCCTGTTTAGCACCTGGTAAATCCCTTTAACAATTTTCAATAGTTTTCTCTTTTTTTGAATGAATGAATTTATTCTTATATTGGAAACCCTTGCCTTGATGTGAAGAAATTATTTTCAAGCCTTTCCAAGCATTTACTACCTCTATCTAAATCACTTGCTCACATAAGATACCAGCAGAGGGGGTTTGGCACACAGAACACCAGGGATCCAAGCAGAAGGCATGGGTGACAGGACTTCCAATTCATTTGCCTGGTGGCCTGGAGCAAACCGTGCTGTGACAACCATTGCCGGTGCAGTGTTTGGACTGAGGTGGGGCTTGAAGATATTTGTGTCTAATGTAAGATTCACTTCCCCAGCAAATGTTTCCTGAATGGCTACTGTGTGCTAGGTACTCTTCTAAGCCTTAGGGATATTGCTGTGAACGGAAGTCTAAAATTCCTTAAGTTGAGAGGCAGTTTTGGAATAGGTAGGTTAGACTAGAGAGGCTTGTTCCCCTTTCCCTCCACTTTCCCAGCTAGCATAGTATTTTCTACATAGAAAATGCAATTTGATCAATGATCTCAAATCAGTTCATAGCTATTAAGGCTTCCTCTTTCCACAACCACTACTCTGATGTGGGAAGTGAAAACCAATGCTCTTTCCACACTCCATCTTGTCTGCATTGCTTCCTTCCTGCCTTCTACACTTCCAGACTTTTGGGGAGGGCCAGGAGCACGTTGGGGTGGTATTCTATGGGCAGGTGATAATGACTTTTGCAGTTTGCAAGTGGCAATTGAAGTTGGTAATTTTAAAAGTGACCCTGCAGATTTTTTTCGGATTGGTTTATTAATAACTCTTTAGTTCTAGAGTGTAGAGCTATGCAAAATCAGAAACAAGAAAAACCAGTCACCATCCAAAGGAAAATGGTGCAGACAGCCAAGGCTGGCGGGGGCCCTGTTTGACCACAGAATAAGTACATTGTGTGATACTGAGTGTTGCAGTGAATTTTTTTTGTATCTCAAGTGCATTTTGGCACCTTACTATACAGCTCTGTAGACCCAGGATATGCAAATCAAGTGTTTCACCACATGTATGAGTGGCATGGCATGATCTCCTAATGCTAAGTGGAAGCTGATTTAATGAAGTCACCAAAACTATTGCTATATATGTAATCAGTGAAAGGTGACTTCCCCACCTTTTTCCTTTGCATTGTTAGGTGAATTCGTTATATCTTTTTTTTTTCCTTGAGATAGGGTCTCACCATACAGCTCAGCCTGGCCTGGAACTCAAAGTGATCCTCCTGCCTCAACCTCCCAAGTGCTGGGATTACAGGCATGTGCTACGACACCCAGCAGAATTAGTTATATTTTAAATTACTATTGTCTAACTGTCTCTGCCCAGACACATGGCCCCTAATTGCTCCTAGTAGAGCCTAGGCATCCTTAACACAACTGGGCCAAGGGGGAATTCCTGCTTTTCCCCACAGCAGTGGATGGCAGCAGTGGGACATCTTTGGTTCATCTGTATTGCCGGCTTACATTTTTGTTGGGCTCTTTTAAGAGACACAGCCCTACAACAGAGTGTAGGAGACCCCGGACTCCTTATTCAAAGTACTTCCTGCTACAACGCCTCAGCATGGGAATCCATCACGTCCACTCCTTGGAATCCACTGCATCGGTTTCCTCCTGCCCCCTCCACACAGTCCACCCCTTACACAGCAGCCACCCAGACAGCCTTAAAGTTCATCGCTCTCCACTATGCTAGAAGAGCATGAATACACCATTGTGCTTTCTGTGGAGGAAAAGGCAGAAAAAATGTCAAGTCCTTTACTGGTGAGAGATCCATAGTGACTGTGGCTTGGCCAGATGGGCATGGGCGGTGGGATCTGCTGGTGCCACTGAGCATATATATCCAGCCTACCAGTGCACGACACTATGCCAGCCTCATTCTTGGCTGACAATGTGTACCAGCCAGTATCTGATTTCTTGGCTGGCTGAATGAGGAGACAGACATACCCTGTTGTGTCCTGGTGCATACTGACCCTCTCTCTGGTGAAGGGGATGGTCTCGTTGTCCTTCTTCCAGTAGAACATGGGTGGGGGCATGCCAATCACGGGGCACTCCAGCCTCACAGGGTGGCCCTCGGGGATGTCCCTGTTGTGCAGTTTCTCCAGGATCACAGGAGCTTTCTTCACCTCTTTGGCTGAACAAGAGAAGGACCTCACCTGTGGCCTCTTAGTGAGCCACAGCCTTGAGAAAGCTCCATAAATGGTTTAAAAAGCAAGGGGTCACCATCTACCTCTACACATCCTGAGCAAAACGACCCCTGGGTCACACATGTGTGATACAGGCGCTATCAATAGTTTTCTTTAACTAAGGAGGCTGGGTTGAATATTTGGTTCTTCATTTTTAAATGAGATGTTAATTTATTTGAAAATGAAACAGAAAGCAATAGTGCACAATGTGCATATAATATCCTCAGCACAACTAGTCAGTTTTCATTATTTCATTACAGGAGATGGTGCTCCCTCTTAGCACTGATTTTAAACCTTTTGTATTTAAAGACATCCATATTGTGCTTATGAAATTATTTTGCCACATTTACACGTTTTCTACACTTTCTGGGATCTGCAGTACAGCCAGCAGGTAGAGTGATTAGTGACATTCACTAAGTCCTGGGTCCAGTATTCAGCATTGCAGTACATACATACATATATACATATCCATCCAAGCACAGAACTGACTCTAGTTGTATATAAAGTCACAAAGAGAAAGAAGGGTGGAAATATCATTGTCACAACATAGACACTACCAAACTATGGATAGTAGGACACAGTCAAAGGACCACTAACAATTACATAGACACTGTATCATATTCTTATCTGTATCATATTCTTATGATATCATATCATATCACTGTCACACCAAGGTAGGGGAAAATTATACTGTCCAAGTCAGAAATACACATACACAGCTGGGTTTGGGTGGTGCAAGCCACTAATCCTAACTGTTCAGAAGGCTGAGGCAGGAAAATTCCAAGCCCAAGCCTACCCCAGGTAAATTAGAGAGACCCTGTATCAAAAATTTTAAAAGGTTTGAGGGTATAGCTCAATGGCAGAGGACCTGGATAGCTGGTCCAAGGCCCTGAGTCCAATATCCAGAGCTCCAATGAAAGAGTAAATAAACTCTTGATATAAGAATACATAATGTACAATGTTTACTATTTTAAATTTGTGATGAGATGACCTTGAGATGATTTTCCTCAATATCTTTTTTTTCAATACTGGAGATTGAATTCAGTGCCTCACACATCTTAGATAAGCACTTCTACAACATCTTAACCTTATTGACATTAAAAATAGGAAGTGGAAAAATGTATAAATGTATCAATGGCCTTGTAAAACAAGGTCCATTTTTTCAGTAGGTAACAAAACATGATATTGAAGAAATATGATAAAATAATGCTGGTTACAAAACCAAAAAAGATATAAATATGGCTTCCTGTGTGGGTCCTATGGGCTCATTTCTGAGGGTAAGAAAAGATGCCTCTTTCTTTATACTGAGGATTATATGTTTTAGGAGACTAGGTGTGAAATGGCAGAGATTGAGCATCTTTATTTGAGAAATTTGGGTGAATTTATGAGTGTTGCATTGCCTGCACTCAGACCATCAACTTGGAGCACCTCAAAGCTTGAGACAATCTTCCAAGGAAGAACTTAACAAAGCTCACTATTGGCTTGCTGGATGGATTTGAAATGTTCTCCATCTCATCTAGTATCAGAAATCAATATACTGAGTTCAGGGTAGAACCAGTCCAGTGATGAGTTAAGGCAACTGGAAACCTGAGGTTTAGAAATCAAAGCAAAGGCTGGTTGGCTGAACCTCAGAAAAAATAGGGGAGGAGAAGAATTGAGGAGCACAAGCAAAAAGATTTCTTTTTGGGAGCTTTTTGCAAAGGGAGAAGAGAATGACACTGGCTGGAGCAGGATGAGAGGTTCAAATAAAGATTTGTTTTACTTTTTCAAAGAAGTTTATATATATTGACTACTACTGGCCAAGGTCTAATTAAATAAATAGTTGTGCAGAAGACAGGAGAATTTACAGAGCTGTGGAAAAGAGTAAATGAGTTCAATGTACAAATAAGAGCATTGGTCTAGATTAAGTACATATAGAGCTGAACACAGATCTCTTATGGAAAAACAAATTAAATCACCTTAGAAACAAAAAGAAACTTAAAGTTACCAATAACATAACCATCATTGGAACATCACAAAACCCAAAGGGTTTGTTTGATACAGTCATTTTTCCAAGCATTTGTGAGACTCTGTTTCAGGGACAAATGATATAATCTAATATAGTGTTAATTTTAGTGATGAGGAAACAGTGCATGGAGAGTTGACATAAATTGTCTAAAGACATGTAGCTACTGTATACCAAAGGAAGAATTCAAACAAATGGTCTGGTTATACAATTCCCATTCTTCGTATTACATCTCTAGTCTCGTGTGTTCAAAGTCACTGGTCAGGCTTTCTAAATCACTCATTGTCTAGTTCTCTATGGCATGGTCTAGTAGTATAAGTACCTAGCACATTAAGGGAAAGATGTTATTTTATAAATAAGTCTCCTTAGAGCCCCTATCATGTCCTTGTTTCTCAGGCTGTAGATAAAGGGGTTCATCATGGGGGTGACCACAGTGTACATCACTGAGGCTACTGCACTCTTTCTGGAGGAATGAGTACCTGTAGAACTGAGGTATACACCAAAACCTGTCCCATAGAACAAGGAAACAACAATTAAGTGTGACCCACAGATGGAGAAGACTTTATACTTTCCACCAGCTGATGGAATTTTCAGGACAGAAGAGACAATTTGAGTGTAAGAGAAAATTATCCCAGAGAGAGGAACAGCACCCAACAGGCCTGTCACCAAATACACCAGGATATTATTGATGAGGATATCAGAACAGGCAAGCTTGAGAAGATGAGCCAGTTCACAGAAAAAGTGGGGAATCTCCAGGTTAGTGCAGAAAGAGAGCCTCAGTGCCATGGAGGTGTGGAGTAGGGCATCAAGGACACTGATGAGGAAGGAAAGCAAAACCAGCAGCCTGCAGAGTTTGGGTTTCATGATGACATTGTACCTTAGGGGATGACAGATGGCCACAAAGCGGTCATACCCCATAGTTACCAGAATTCCATTTTCTAATCCAAGAAAAACCAAGGCAAAACAGATTTGGGTGAGGCAGCCAGTATAACTGATGGATTTACTATGCACCTGGATGTTCACCAGCATTTTTGGAATGGTGGTGGTGGTGAAACAGATGTCCACAAAGGACAGACTGGAGAGGAAGAAGTACATAGGGGTGTGCAGGTGGGAGTCTGAGATGATAACCATGGTGATGACAAGATTCCCAAGCACTGTGACCAGGTACATGGACAGGAAAAGTGCAAAGAGTACAGGCTGCAGGTCTGGATCTTCTGAGAGTCCCAGGAGAAAGAACTCTGTAGTTTCTGAGAAGTTTCCTGGGTTCATTTTTTTCATGAGTCTGAGAGAAAAGATGGGAGTGATAAGGAAACAAATAGTGCCTGAAACCTCCTCAAGCTTGTCTATATTTTGAGACAAAATCAGCTACAGACTTTTCCTCCCACTTAACTTTTCCCGCTCTCCTTCACTCATCTTTTGTTGCCCTCAATATTTCTCCCATCCAATTTTTTCTCTATATTTCATTTTAAATCTACACATAATTACACATACATATGAGGTATAAAGGTTTCTTTTGAAGCATGTACACATTGTATAATTATCAAAATATTCATTTTAATAACATTGACTAATCAGGAATGTAGCACATCCACCAAATCATCCGTTCATACTTTCTCTTCAAGGTGAGCATTTCAAAACCCTATCTTCCAGCTATTTGAAAATGCGTATTTCACTTTTGTTAACTATAACAAAAATGATTTTATTTTCCACCTGTTATATTTCAAGTAGAGCCACTTATAAAGAATAAAACACAAAGGAAAGCATTTCTCCTCCCTGAGCATGTCTTCACAAATATTATTCTAGAATAATATTGTCAAGGCTGTATAGTAGAGTTTGGGATAACACAATATTTAGGCCAAATTCTGCCTGCTTGATTTTGTAAGTAAAGGGTTACTGGGACACATTCACTCCTTTATGTATTTTCTATAGTTGCTTATGGGCTACAAAAATATTGTTCAGCACTTGTCACAAAGATAATATGGTCACAAAACCCAAACTTGTTGCTATCTGGATTTTCACTGAAAAATTCTGACTCCTGATTGTCCAGAAGCTCAAGTAGGCTTAACATCATTATTTCATAGGTATCCTCCAGTAATTTCAAGTGAAAATGCATAACATATTATCAGCTTATCTTTTTCTACTAATAATGATTGCATGCATCCATTATTTCATTGAGAGTTAAAAATGCTAACATTTGACTTGAGTACAGATTGAAAAGGGAGAGAGGTGAATGATTACTTGCAAAAGTACTTAATTATTAACAGTAGTTGATATAATTAATCTCCATAGATACATTTAGAGAAATATATTTGCTCTTTTCTTTTCCTTTTAGGGGAATCCCCTTTTTTGTAGTTCTTTCCTATAATTTTCCCTTTCTCATAATTTGTGCTAATACTTTTCATCTAAGTTCATAACTCTCCCCTTTTTTAATTTATCTCAACCTAGATTTCATGTTCATACAATTAGGAAAGGAAATGTTAAGAGTCCACCCTGGATCATGCCCACCCTCCTCTCATTTCTGGTTCAGCCCTCTCAGTCTCTGGTTCAGGTATGATGGAGACTCAGCTCTGATCCCTGGTGAAGTCCTATGTGGACCAGCACAGGAATTGCTTTAAGTCTCTCATATACTCTGTGAATTTTTCAGATTCATAAGAAATGAATCTTGGCATCCCAGAATAGACAATGAAGAATCAGTCTGATGAAGGCCCGTTGTAGAGTATCTCACCATCCCTCATAGAATCTTTACTAGAATCTGTGGGCAAATGTACAGAATGAAAAATTCACAACCTGATGAGGGGTGATAAGGAATTTGCTGGTACATTTCTAGGATTCAATAACTTTCTCAAAATGTTGCTTGAAGTTGTTAGTGAATTTGAAGGCACATAAGAAGGGAAGATTGCTAAATAAGATCAGTCTTTGCTAAATGGAAATAATATAACAATGCTGGTCCTTGGAGAAGATCTGAAAGTATTATTGAACTTCCTTATGTTAGATTCTGATTTGTCCTATACTTACAACAAAATAGGGGTTTTTTAATTTAAATTTTAACATTAAGATCTCATAAAGCTAAGATTTCAATGAAGGAAAATGCTTTGGAGATGTATTGTATGCCAATTGATGTCAATTAAGCATGCTTATTTTGGAAAAAGAAGAAAATTATTTTTTACTCAATACTTAAAAACGGTATTTAAACTTAAAAGAAATAGCATATTCTGGCAATGTCAAAGCATCTGCCTCTTGGTCTTACTAAGAGTGAATTTCTGTCATAATGTCCCAAGAGACAGGATAAAATACCAGTACCACCATAAGTGCTATTGAATGAAGGGAGAACAACTTTAATCTATTTGGAACCTAGGTCTTTAAGCATGTTAGGCAAGTGCTCTACTAGTGAACTATATCCCAACCCTTTTTATTTTTAATTTCAGACAGGTTCTTGCTAAGTTGCTCAGTTTGGCCTCAAACTTGCCATCCACCTATCTCAGTGATCTGTGTGGCCTGGATTACAGGCATAGTGAGCCACCATGTGTCATAAATTAATGCAGATTACTTTCCTTGGAGAGAGGCAGGTGATGAGAGGAGAATCAGTCCTTGAACATGAGATGTGGACTAAGACAGGTACAAATCCTATCATGAGTTCCCCAACTGTAACATGGATCTGCAACATAGGGAGGTTTCTGAAACTACGAGCAGATTCAATCATCTCATTTATGTAGTGGAAGTGCTATGAAAATGTACAGAGATATTGCCAAGAAGAAACATAGATGAAAAGTGCTAAGTGCAGGGTTTGGCATACAGAGCCCTATAAATATTTTCCTATCAGTTTGTGTTCAGCTGTGGACAAGGCTGGATGTTTTTGTGGAATGTTGAGGATGACAGAGAAAGGAGGAAAGAGAGACATAGAACACTCCAGGAACAATATTACAAGGCTGAGCCAAGCAGAGACTTGCTCAAAACACCAGGGGAAACCCTGCCAGGACAATGAAGAAGGGGGAAAAAAAATTAAACTATGTCAGTACAGGAATAGATGGACTATGGCTCAGCAAGGTAATGACATGTTATTTTAATACTATTTTAATAAAACTTAGTATACTTATGTTTTAATATTTATCAGCTAAACATTGTACATTTAAGTTGGTGGTAGATGTATAAAATTACACTAAACAAATATTAAAACACTACATCAGTATGTAATTTATGTGATATTAATATTCCTTAAAATAATTATTTTTCATTTTCAAAATTTTATCAGTGCATATTAGATACACAATTTAATCTTAACTTGTAAGTAAAAGCATGTAACATTTTGATTATTGTCTTCCTTTTGCTTTCCTGTCATCTCTCCTTTTTCTATTATTCTTTTTATAAAGCTCTTCTTCAATTATTTGAGAAGTATAAAGAATGAAGCTGAAGGGCTTAGCCATATCACCCACAATGCTCAAAATCAAATCCAAATATTTGGATACATTTGTTTTATATTTTTAAAGTAAAGGCCAGGTATTTAGCTCAGTGATTCCAGTGCCTGCCACACAAGTGCGAGGTCAGGAGTTCGATCCCTGGTACCAAAAGTAAAAATAAAGCTCTGCAGATGTCTTTTGTACATTGGTGTACTCCCACATTATTTCAATACTGACCTCCACTCCCCAAGGTAACTGTGAGACTGAACTTTTCATGAAGAATTCTCCTGTATGGCCTCATAAACATTATGATAGAACCACAAAAAACCTGTGTTTATGGAACTTTCTTTAACACATGTGGATGTTGGTTATAAATGACATTATGCTGTGTTTTTATTTCAACAACTGTAATTTTTTTAGGTGGACACTGTATTTCCTATGTTTCTTAATATTGATTTCAGCCACCATACGTTAATGTCAACACATATTCTTGTGTGATTGGGAATTTGTATTAGCCATAAATTACTTTTACCTACTACATTCACACATAACAATAGTGTTATACTAAACATGGTGAATTTTAATGAAATTACAGGGTGAGGGCTCCTGGAATAGTAGGGAGGGGCATAAAGTAGTAGCATAAAGATTTCTTGTCTCTGTTTGGAATTCTTTATTATTTTTAAATGAGATACATTAATTAAATTTTAATAAAAATGTCTGTGGCTATCTAGCAGAATTAATGATTAAATCTGGAAGGTAGATTAATAATTGTGTTTTTCTGCACACTGTGCACTTTGATTGTTTTAATATATTTCATAATATTTTGTTTGGAATTCAAAAAGAGAAGGAGTGGAAAGGTAACTCCTTGATATTCTGTGGATTTAACCTTCTCTTCTGGTGTCCTCTCAGTCAGGTGTTAGTGTGCAGTTGCACACTAGGGAGACTGAGGTAATAGGGTTGTGTTTAATTTGAAATAGCTGGAGGGGAATAACAATTTCTCACCACAAAGAAATTTTAAATGTAGGAGGCCATGGACACTCTAATTATCCTGATTTGTAACAACAGGATTACATGTATTGAATTTTTATATTGTAAGCCATAAATATATACTATTGATATGCATAAACAAAAATATTTTTCAAAGAAAGAAGAGCACTTGAATTCTGTGAAGGTGAAAACTGGATTCAAAAATGGTTAAACTGAAAAGGGACATACAAAATAAAGACAAACAGAGAAAAGAATTAGAAGGAGATGTAAGCAAATGTAAGGAAGGAAGGGAGGAAGAAGGGAGGGAGAAAAGGAAGCAGGAAGGAAGGAAAGAAGGAAGACATTAAGCCAGGAAGGAAGGAAAGAAGGGAGGAAGGAAGGAAGGAAGGGAGGGAGGGAGGGAGGGAGGGAGGGAGGAAGGAAGGGAACAAGGGAGGGAGGGAAAAGACAGACAAAGTTACTTCAATATCTTACTGTAATTTTTGGAAGAACTTCAGAATACTTGGAAGATATCAGCTAGGTGTTATGAATCTGTTCACTGGATCTTGAGAGATGATGCTGGAAAATAGATCATCAGGAAGGGCAGATGGACCAATGGGCAGTGAGCTTCTGGGTGAGAGTTCTCATCTCTGGAAGCAGGTTCAAGTGTGTTTCCTGACCTGAGCCCTGTTGCTGATAAGGTGGTCACAGGCTGACTATTTTCAGTGTCTGTAGCCTTGTGGGCTCAATTAGCACAGCTCCTCATTAGCCAGAGGCTCATTCTCATTTATCCTCCAAGGCAGCTAAGAGCCTTCAGGTATAGATCATAGAAGGGCAGAACTCTTGGTGACTGATTTCCTGAACCTGAGAGTACAGGTACATACCATTCTCTTCCTGCCACATCTCCTT